TCAATACTCCTTTAGATAAGATTAGGGTCTGCTGTTCATTTTCCCAGCTCTGTGCTGGGTTACTATTTGGGAGTCCCTTTGTTCACCCTGGCCAACAACTCAAAAAGAAGGTATGTCCTATCTGGTATTGTTGCTTGTTATGTAACCTTTAGCCATGCATATGGACTCTTAAGAAATTGTATTGACCCCTTTAATCTTTGGTTGTACTTTCCTTTTGGATGTTTAAGGCCATACAGTTGGCCCAGATAAACCAATTTCTTTTTCCTCTTAAGGTCATTTGAAGATCTGTTCCTCAGGGGTCACATGGGCTTGGGAGGAGCCCCTGGCTCCTTGCTTTTACCATCTATGTGAAGATAAGTCAAAGGTACTGATCGACCATGGTTGGCTTCGCTTGGAAGCATGGAGGAAGTGATTCCTCTGTCTTGACCCTCCTCTTTGTAGACTGGATACTGGTTCAAGTCCATCTGGTGGGGTCTCCTTGGCCTCCTTGATCAAGAGGACAGGTGACCCACCACCATTACAGGACATTTTGAGAGATGTTTATAGTTCCCTGAAGTTAGTCGACCTAGGAGGGCAAGGAGCAAAAACTGTCCTTTATGTCCTTCTTACCAAATTAATATAGGCCTCAAAGTATGTCTGTTAAACATCCATGAAGGTTAGTTCCAACAGTCTGGTACTTTTAATTATTGTGTGCCATGTAGATAAATCTTGGGCAAAGACCAATTGTTCTCAGATAAACCTTACCTAGAGCCATCTTTCCTCTGAAAGAACCAGTCAGTGTGAGCCAAAAGGTTCTGCTACTTTTGAATATGCTGGTAGAAAAAAATAGACAGTGGAGGAATGACTTATAAAATGTAAATAATCTGGGCTAAAGACTTTTAAGTGACTCCAGCAAAATCACGTGCTCTAATCTAATGTTTCACTTTCTGAAAACCAAAATGTTTTGCATGGCAATATAAGCAAAATCTAAGAGCAAACAAAATTTGAATAGACATTTTCAACTTATCTCACAGATAAAGTGCTAATTTCCCTGGTATGTAAAGAACTTTAAAGATTGAAAGAAAGAAGACCAAAATTCTTGGAGAGAAAAGTAAACAAAAAATATAAACATATTACTTATATATAATATTATAAACACATAAGGAGATGTCTAATTTTACATATAATAAGAAAAATACAAAATGAAAGGGTGTTATTGTACTGTATCTAACCCATCAGATCATCAGAAAATTTAAAACTTGACAAGGTTCAGAGGAAACCAGACCTCTCACACATTGTAGGTAGAAATGCAAAATAAGATTTTAAGCTAAAAATTATTTTCATATGCCATTTATTTTGATTACAAAAATTCTTCCTTATAGATATAATATAATGCATTAGCTCTTTCTTTGTGATTTTCACTTTAATTAATTTTTCATTTTGATTAATTAAGTTTTAATTAATTAACTTTAATTAATTTTTGGAGACAGGGTCTTGCTATATAGCTCTAGCTTGCCTGGAACTTATATGTTGATCAGGTAGGCACTGAACTCACAGAGATCTAACTGCCTGCCTCTGCTTCCTGAGTACTAGGATTAAAGGCATGTGCCACCACACCTGGCTATTTTTAATTTTTAATCTTTATAAATAGCATTAGGTTGGATTTGCATTTCTGATTATGACTTTAGTGTAGGTTCCTAGAAGTCAATTACTGAGACAAATAGTTTGAAATTTTATGACTATTGACATATGTTACAAAGCTTTTGGAATGCCTATATACATTAATCTAGCTGTTCATTTATTTTACATACTCATACAAATTTGCAGGGTTTAGAATGCTCAAGTTTCTACTCAACACTGAAAACAACTTTCTAAACATTTTCTAAGTGTATAAGCAGAACTTATATTTCATTAGTATATTTGTTAAGATCAAGCATGCTATATACCTTCTAGCCATTGTTTTTGTCCTCCTGGGAAATTTCTGTCCATTTTCGGGAGGCTATCGATGTCTTTAGTACTAAGTCTGATTTCTTTCTATATGGGCTGTATATTCACACTTTGCTGCATTTACCACAGGCAGGATGAGTGGCTTACTTGGCTTTTAACCACACAGCACTGGTCTTGGATGCAGTTGCAAGCTCAGCAAATGATATACCTGAAGGTTGCAGACTCCTTGTAAGCAGGGCCAACAGAGTAAGGATTATATTATAGGGAAATTTTGAGTGTCTCAAAAAACATGGCAAGACAAGAGAAGAGGGCTTAAGTTAGACAGCGTAATTAGTTTGAAGAAGCCAGCCATTTTGTAAGCTTCCAGATAGCAAAATAGATTTTGATATATAAACAATTTTTCAGAGACGACATTGCCTCTATTTCTATAACCATTTCACTTGGACTGTCTGAGCAGTCCTATGACTGTATTCCTAAATGATATTCTTGAAAACAAAATAGCTGCCTCACAAAAATTATGGACATATTATTTAAAAAGGAAGAAAAAATAATAATGTGTGAATTGAGTGTGTAGGCTCCATATCTTTACAGTTTCTTCTTCTATACTAGTCAGTGGTTTAGCCTAAATTTTAAGTGTGTGTAAAGGGTCAATTTTCCTGTATCAAACATGTATTAAATAATTCCATCTGTGGCTGGAGAGATGGCCCAGCAGTTAAGAGCACTAGCTGCTCTTGCAGAGGACCTGAGTTTGATTCCCAGCACCCACATGGCAGCTAACTGTCGGTAACTCCAATTCCAGGGGATCCGATGCTTTCTTCTGACCTCCGTGAGCATTGCATGACAAGTGTACACTTACATACATGCAGACAATATACCCATATACATAAAATAAAAATAATAAAATATTAAAAAAAATAATTCCATCCACTTACATAGGGGAAAATGGGGAAGAGGTAGAAACTGGGCTCTAGTTCATATGCCTGTGAGTCAGAAAAGACTAAAGTAATATCCCAAGTTGACTTTAAAAAAAATGAATATTGGGCTGGAGAGATGGCTCAGTGGATAAGAACACTGGCTGTTCTTGCAGAAGACCCGGGTTCGAATCCCAGCACCCATATGGCAGCTAACGACTGTCCATAACTCCAGTTCCACAGGATCCGACAGCCTCTTCTGTCCTCCATGGCCATTGCATGACATGGGTGCACTTACCTACATGTAGGCAATATACATATACACATAAAAATAATAAAGTATTAAAATAAATAAAAAATAAATATTAAAAAATAATCTTTGAGGCAAAATAGTAATTCTATTAACTAAAAGATAGTAGGCTATATTCATCATATTTTTCAGGACAGATAGCATTTACCATGGGGCAAATAGGTTAAAATTATTCTGTATGCTACTAACATTTAAATTCTAAAGAAAAGAATCCGAAGAGAAATCTATGCAATATATAATTTGTCGAGGTTAGTTTCCATTTGGAGAAAGGAGTTCCTAAGCATCTCCAAAGCAGTTTACTCATGATTTGAAAGTCCTCCAAGAGGAGAACTATGGGGAGACAGTGGTGTGTGGTGGTGGGAAAGAAAAACTCCCTCAATTTTTGGAGGCAATAACTTTAAAAATACTTAAACGGCTAAGTTTACCTGGTGCAGTTAAGAATTAAAATTGTCACTGGACATGGTGGCACATGCCTTTAATCCCAGCACTTGGGAGGCAGAGGCAGAGGCAGGTGGATCTCTGTGAGTTCAAGGCCAGCCTGGTCTACATAGTGAGTTCCAGGACAGCTGGGGCTACA